TGATGGGCCTGATTCTCCACTGCCTTGAACCTTATATAGTCCCTTATCCTGTACACTGTGGCTGTAAAACTCTACCAGATCACTCCACTCTTACATCTGAGACAGGCTTTTACACCTGTCCATGTGTAAATGAATACGTGAGGTGCAAGCCAGTGAAGAATCTGGCCATGAAGCTTTTGCTCTACTTATCCTGAAAGAAGGCTTGCTTTTATTTTCTCTAGCTGCCCCTTAAAATACTAACTACAGTAACACAAATCTATTTCATTTTTGTTAACAATGATACATTGTAAATTGCTGGAAACTAGACTAGGAGACATAACAGCATTCCCCTTCTCCACCGCAAATAAGAATTTGTGACTTGCACTGCCATCTATTGCCACAGCGTGCACATTTTATCTGCATCTCTATTATATGCCTGTGCGGGTTTTTTTTATTCCTGTATTAAATACCCCCCTTGATAGGAGTTTGTAATATGGGCCATTCACTTAGGAGTTCAATGAGCCTGGTGACAAACTGTTTTAATCAATAAATTCTCTAGCTGATTTATAACACAGAGTTATCTCAAGAACTGATTTCATTGCACACGTTTGTAATAATGGCAGTAGGCCAAATTCATTTTTGGTGTCACTCTATTGACAACAGAGTCTGCAGTAAGATAGCTGTCAGTTTGGTGGATGAACCAAATGGACTAGGATCCAGCTCATTCCCAGAGCTCTTTAATCAAATCCCCTTTAATCAGGGATGAATTTGATTCAGTGTCTTTAACCAAGCCTTAAGGCTCTGAATCAGCAAAATAAATGAGGCAGGGTAAGGAGATATTTTTTGCTTAATTAGACCCTAATGAGTTAAATTAGCTAAGGCCACTTTCCCTTAAATATGTGTGAATGAAAAGTTCAGACCCTGACAGAAAAGCAGGAATCTATTGTTAATAGGTTGTTATTGTTTTCTACCCTGGGGGGTGATTGCCACTTTTCCATCCTTCATCATGTATGCACTGGTTACTATAAGGTTCTCATGCATGCACAAGCAGCAAAGTAACATCTTTCTGTTTGATTACAAACAATATAAAAATAAAACTTTTTTAAAATGATGACCTATGCCTGAGAGAAAGGATGGTCAGGTATATAAGGCACTAGACTTATAGTAAGGAGAGCTGGGTTCAATTTCTGCTTCTACACTGCCTTCCTGTGTAATCTTGGTCAAACCACTTAATCTCTTTGCACTCCCATTCTCCATCTATACAATGGGGATAACAACACTTCTTTTCTCACTCTGTCTTGCCTATCTAGATTGCAAGCTCTTCAAGGAAGAGACCCTCTCTGACTTCATGTATGTACAGCACCTAGCAGAATGGGGCCTTAGTCCTCATTGGGACCTCTAGATACTACAGCAGTACAAATAATAATGATGACAATAGATTGATTGTGTTTTGGTTAGTAAATCAAAGCCTCCTGAAAACACAGTACTTGTAAAGTACAAAATTCCTCAATCCCCAGACAGCACAACTAGTGTGATTGTGCACTGCACAGGACATGGCCTTCCAGCTTGTCCATATGCTGTAAGCTTTGCAGGGCTGGGCAGGAAGTGAGGTAGAGCTTGTATATCTACCAGACATTGTCTGAACTAGGCAGGAGCATGAGGAACCCTTTTGCCAATTTGACTATTCAAATTTCTTGTGAGAAGTGGCTCATATTATTTTTTTCTCTGATGCACTAAAGAAAACACTTTGGCCACAATTTTCAAAAATGTCTAATGATTTTGTGTCCCTCAGTTTCTGAGTGCCCAGTATGAGACACCTTAAAAGGGTCTTAAAGGGGTCTTCAGAAAATGCTGAGCACCAACTTCTGAAAATAAAGTCCCTTTAAGAGGGGGAAGTCTCAAGTTGGGTGCCCAAATATTGAGGCACTTAGTATATCTAGTCACTTTTGAAAATCTTGGTCTTTAGATCTGAGAGGTAAAGCGTATTAGTACAGAATGTATGGGCAAGATTCTAATCCCACACTGCTTCTGCACTAATGGAACTTGACTGATTTACGCATAATTTACACCAGTGTAAGAGCAGTCTCTATGTTTCTAATTTCTGTTTAACAGAAAAATACATTCATGTCCTTTTCTAGGTTTCCCAATGACTGTGCTTAACTACCAGCTTAAAAAAAAAGAAAGCATATTGTAACATAATGACTGGTCTGTAAGTAAATGGAAACAACTTCAGAATAGGAGTCCATTTAGAGATAATTACGCTTACTATTTCATAACCCCAGAGCTACTAATTCCGTATGAGTTGAAGTTCAGAAAACAGTGTATCACACCGAATGCTTTTCCTCAAATTTGTCTGTAATTAACTGGTTTCTGTAAAACCATGGTGAGCAAAGTGCTACAACCCACTACGAAACAAATTAAAGTTATTTCCTTATATGACAAATACCGGAATTACTTTGACTTTCAAAACTTGGATGACTCCCTTACTGTAGTTTTAATTAGTTTTTTCTTCATATTTTTGTTCAAGCAGCTCTATTCTTTAGAGACTGATCAGAACTTCAGTTCTATAACTTCAATCAAGAAAAACCAATGGTTGTACATCCCCAGATCTGCCTCTTGCTGCAGAGCCTTTGAAATTGACAGTTGAGGCACATCAAGTTGGCAGATCAGAGAAAAAGGCATTTAAATTGTGTGCGTGTACTTATATGCAGGGCCGGCTCCAGGCAACCAAGCACATGCTTGGGGCGGCACCGGGTAAGGGGTGGCCAATCTTGGGGTGGCGGGGGGCAGCACGGCGCGACATTCCGCGGGGGGGGGGGGTGCTCCGGCGGCGTGGTGCTCGGCGCGGGGGCAGCACGGTGCAGCGCTCGGCGGGGCGGCGCTTTTTTTTGCTGCTTGGGGCAGCAAAAAAGTTAGAGCCAGCCCTGCTTATATGCACACTTATAGCTAATGAATGGCATTAGTGACTATAGTCCTATTTATTCAAAGAGCAGGAAATAATACTTGAGCCCTAATTCACTTCTCCTAGCAGTTTAAATCAAGAGTCACAATGGTGTAAAACTGATGCAGGCAAATCAGGCCATTAGCACTTAAGTGTTGCAGTGCTTAACTTGTGGAATTCACAGTCCTAAGTTAGGCAGCCATGCATGGTAGGGGGAGAGTTAGGCATCTAAGAAAAGGATTCACAAAAGACATCAAGCTGAGTGGATGAACTGTTAAACTAGCCAGTAGGAAATGCCAGAATGAGACAGAGAAAAAAAGTGAGAGACTGACTCTATAGCCCAATAGTTAGAGTCAGGGTTGCATCCCTGCTCCAAGAAACATTTCATTAATTATACAACGTGAAACAGCTTCATCAGGAGAGACTGAGAGGGGCCCACCCCGGAATACCCAAAAGCCTGATGACTAGGGCACTCACCTGGGATGTGGGAGATAAAAGGCTCAAGTCAAACCTAGGTCTTTCACATCCTGGGTGATTGCTCTAACCAGTTGGATATTGGATATAATTGGACACCTCCCTTCCTCCAAAGTCTCATCTCCCTGCAGGCAAGATCAGCAGGGGAATGTCTAGCTTGAGAATCTCACTGGAGCTAGCGCACCGATCATCTCTGTGACATCAGCACTGAGGTGCTCTGTGCATACTCATATGCAGAAACAGGCACCTAGGAACTTTACACACCCATAGGGTTAGATGGCAGCTGAGCAGGGGTTTTGTAAATGCCACTGGTAGCTAAATATTTGACTTAGGTGCCTAAAGAGGCATTTAGACCCCTCAGTCCCCTTGTGGAGCTAGCCCTTAGCGCATTTTTCATTTTCAAAACACTGCACAAGTTTTCCAGTGTTTCCTAGTGTTCCAAATGAGAAGGTGCAGATCTACACCACTCTCACTATGGGGCCATGGCTAAAAGCCACAATAAGGTCCCATGTCAGCAATGCAGTTCCCACTAGAGCTCTAGGAATGAGCTGGATCCTAGTCCATTTGGTTCATCCACCAAACTGACAGCTATCTTACTGCAGACTCTATTGCTGGCGAGAATTGAACACCGCTTGATTTTCAGGTCTCAAATTGGAACTGTTGTTTTAACCGCTAGTCCAGCAATCTCTTGCTTTTAAGTTGTGAAAAATTGATGGGGGAGAGAAAGAGAATATGGAAATCCACAATATAATTTGTGCATACTGTTACACCTCTACCCCGATAGAACGTGACCCGATATAACACAAATTCAGATATAACGTGGTAAAGCAGCGCTCCGGGGGGTGGGGTGGGGTGGGGCGGGGCCGCGCACTCTGGTGGATCAAAGCAAGTTCGATATAACGCAGTTTCACCTATAACGCGGTAAGATTTTTTGGCTCCCGAGGACAGTGTTATATCGAGGTAGAGGTGTACGTACTTTGAGAGTTAAACAGGCTGCTAAAATTTCTTCTGCTTTAATTCTGCACTAAGACTTATACAAGGGACTTTAGGGTTCCCCTTCACATCCTTCAAGTCTGTTAAGCACAGAGCCACCATTCATCCATGCTATAAAGGAGCTTAATTTTACTCTTGTTTGTCTCCAAACTTTTCCCACTGAGCTGCATTTGGGGATTTCTTAATTACCATTATTTATCCAAACCCCTCTGGTGACTATACCCATCAAAGGATATAAAGCCCATAATATTACCAATTGCAAATGGAAAGTCCCTGTTAACACATGCAGGAAAGGCCTCCAACTGAGAAGCATCTGTCCTGAGTTCCTGAAATCTCTAATTACATTGCAGTAGCACAATCACAACTCTGAAACTGTGTCCTGCCACAGCTGATTAGAGTACCCACATACAGGCGAGTCTCATCTTACGCGCATTTAACATGCGCGAATTCAGCTTTGCACGGTCGGCAAAAAAACAAACAAACAAAAAAACAATTTAAATACTGTACCTGTAGTGCGGGCGATTCCACCCGCCATTACACTCAATGTAATTTTGACCATACGCGATTTTCGCTTTACGCACTGACAGCGGAACGTAACCCCAGCGTAAGATGAGACTCGCCTGTATATTAGAGTCCAGTTGATAAATTAACAGGATGCTTATTTGCATGCTGATTCCATTGTAGTGTGTCCTATTAGCAAGAATAGAGGGAGTATTCTCTACTCTTAGCTTGTTTTTATTCCCTCATTTTGTTTTCTTTAAGAGTGAAATAGAATTTGATACTGGTTTCAGCTTTTAAGAGGATGTATACTCCACTTGTGAGCCCAAGATCCCAAATGAAAATATTTGTCCCTCTTCATTTTGATTTGAAAAAAATATATATATTCTTCAGCTACAGGAAATTCATTCTGCAGCTTATGGAAACTTTACATGAAGAAATTTAGGAAGACAACTAAAAGGAAGCCACTAGGTTGAGGGTGATGGTAGAAGCATGAAGTTAAGTAGAAGAGGAATAATGACAGTGAGGGTTTGCTCCTGCATTCCTTGTACAGCCAAGTCCCTCAATCAAATCAAGTCAGTGAGGGAGCTGAGTGCGTAAGGACCTCAGGATCAAATCCTTAGTTAACCCATACCATTTACCTAACACATGGACATTCAAAAATACAGGATGGGGAACATGTGAAGGCAGATAATTTAAGATACCTTCAGTGCAGAAATTACTTAAAATAAAATATATGTAGAGTTTATTGTAAAGTGGGACAGCTCTCAGTTTTGAAATTGGTACCACTTAAGGGAAATAAAAATGACATGTAGCTCTGCCATACAAAAATGCACTATTATACTGATGCCTCTTTTCTTAATTTCAAACGAAGAAAGCGTTGTGTGGCTTTTAGAACACAAGCGCCCCTTAGTGGTAAGATACACAAACATTCCACCATAGTTTACTGTAGGTTTGTTTTTTTATAATTAAAAACCATCACATCCTGAAGTCTTTGCTCAGTCAAAAATGCCCAATGACTAGTATTCAAGTTTAGCCTGAGTAAGGATTTCTTGATTTGGGCTCTCTTTCTCTCTCACACACACACACACTTTTAAAATCACTCAAATTATATACAAGAATTGAATTTTTCAATAAAACATTGAACCCATCTGTAATAGACTAAAAACAATTTACATAAATAAAGGATACTTAATGACATTCAGAAGTATCTAGATAAGATTTACTGGACTTTCAAGAAATCAAGATTTATATATATGTGCATCTGAGTTTTAAAACTTCACACATCACCATGTCAGCTAAGTTATATCCCTTTTGTAACCTTGGTAAACAGAGAAGTGCAACTAAAGAAACTACATTTAGAAGACAAAATAAATACCACCTTCAGTGATCAGTGTGTTTCAGCATCAATGGAAGGAGCATGTCCTGTGATGATTCAAGTTTAGGTTTTCAGTGTGAGTGCTTGTCTTTGGAAAAGAAGAGTGCTCAAGAGTACATAAGTTCTTCTATATAGCATCCCTTACGGACACAGTCATAATATCCAAAGTAGTCTCTAAAATTACAGACACAGTTTTGCATAGTCAGGTTTGAGTAATTATGCACATACACTTTTGTGTGGATGTGGAAGATTGCAGCCACAAGTCAGCACATAAAACTGCACCTTCAATTTTAAAAGCTGGGTCCTCTGAGCCTTTGAAAATTTGGCCCTAAACGTTTGTTTGCCTGAAAAACTGTTCTATATGAAAGGGCCAAGTTTTCAGATAATGGTACACCAAAGTTGTACATGCATCAGTTGCACATCCAAAAATTTGCACATGCAAACACGTACATACAGATGCCTCTTTTGTGAGTGCAATAGGTATGGGTTTTTTGTTTGCAGCTAAAGTTTATGCACCATTTAAAAGCGCAGTCCTAGAAGTCAGTGAATGATTTAATTGGATTTACTCCCCAAATGTTAAGGCTCTAGAAGCTTCCTGCTGTTCTTTATGTAGGTCTCTTGCCCTGTTTTTCAGAGCCTCTGCCTTGGCATCATTTTTATCAATTCCATCTCCTAGTTTGTACATTCGACTGGCATTGGCACATGCCCACACATGACCCATGTCACATGCTTTCAAAGAGTACTTCAAAGCCAGGTTCATGTCCTTTGGTATCCCAGGTGCTCCTTGAAGATATATCGCACTAAGATTGAAGCAACTAGGGGCAAAACTGCCATCACATGCTTTAGTGTAGTAGTCCCTGGCAAGGATTGGGTCAGGTTTGTCATCATTTACTTGCCCATCGTGTGCTAAAAGTCCAACGTTGTGGCAAGCATTTATTGATTTCTTCCCACCTTTTTCGCAAGACTTCAGAAAGCAGTTGTAGGAAGCTTTCAAATCTTGGCTGAGTCCACCTGCAGCCATCCAAAAAACACAATCAAATACAAGTTTGTGAGAAGAACATACTCTAATTGTGAGATAGTGAGAAAAACGTTTTCTTTCACAAATTTTTCAATACTATTTTGGAAGAATATAACTAAAGATAGTTGTAAATGTGGACTATACTTCATTCTCATACCTATGAGAGCAATCATATCTCCCCATAGCCTTCTTTATTCTCATTGCTGTTCACGTTTTTGGTGGCCTGTCTAGGTATGTCTACACTGCATGAGTAGAGATAAGGAGGTGTTAGTACTGTTATACAAGGCACTGGTGAGACCTCATCTGGAATAGTGTGTGCAGTTCTGGTCTCCCATGTTTAAGAAGGATGAATTCAAATTGGAACAGGTACAGAGAAGGGCTACTAGGATGATCCGAGGAACGGAAAACCTGTCTTATGTTGTTTAGCCTAACCAAAAGAAGGCTATGGGGAGATATGATTGCTCTCTATAAATATATCGGGGGATAAATACCAGGGAGGGAGAGGAATTATTTAAGCTCAATACCAATGTGGACACAAGAACAAATGGATATAAATTGGCCATCAGGAAGTTTAGATTTGAAATTAGTCGAAGGTTTCTAACCATCAGAGGAGTGAAGTTCTGGAACAGCCTTCCAAGGGGAGCAGTGGAGGCAAAAGACATATCTGGCTTCAAGACTAAGCTTGATAAGTTTATGGAAAGGGATGGTATGATGGGATAAATTAATTGCCAAAATTAGGCTATCTTTGACTATTAGCGGTAAATATGCCCAATGGCCTGTGATGGGACACTAGATAGGGTGAGATCTGAGTTACTACAGATTCTTTCCTGGGTGTCTGGCTGATGAGTCTTGCCCACATGCTCAGGGTTTAGCTCATCGCCATATTTGGGGTCAGGAAGGAATTTTCCTCCAGGGCAGATTGGCAGAGGCCCTGGGGTTTTTTCACCTTTCTCTGCAGCATGGGGCACGGGTCACTTGCTGGAGGAGTCTCTGCACCTTGAAGTCTTTAAACCACAAGTTGAGGACTTCGATAGCTCAGACATAGGTCAGGGGTTTGTTACAGGAGTGGGTGGGTGAGATTCTGTGGCCTGCGTTGTGCAGGAGGTCAGACTAGAAGATCAAAATGGTCCCTTCTGACCTTAAAGTCTATGAGTCTAAATCTGTGCTTCCTAGCACTGAAAGGTTAACCCATAATAAAATGTTAGCTAGAAATCCTGAAGCATCTTGTCACAAGAAGAGAACTAGCTCACAAGAACAGTCTCAACACCAGTGGGGGCTGGGCTCCAGTGGGCGCAAAAGGGGAGGGCCTGGGAGGCTAGCCAACCCAAGACAGGGGTTCACCCACCACTCATGCTCAACACTTCCCTTTCTTCCAACAGGTGGAAGCTGTTTCTCACCTTTCCCAGTTGCATAATAAGCTCCAAGTTTATAGCAACTCTCACTGTTCTCATTCTTTTCACAGTTTTCTTTTAGCACCTTGGCAGCTGCTTCAAAGTCCTTCTTCACCCCCTCCAAATAATCAGCCAATCGATGGCACCCTGCGAGGAAGACAGGGATTAAACAGTTTACAAACTAGGCGGAGGCTAGGCCATTTGGGTGCTGCACCGCAACACAAGAACCGAAGACGACTGGTCTTTCTAATATGGTATCTTGCTTGTCCAGGTTTAGCCTCATTTTTCTATAGTACAAACCCACTGGAAGCAGTTTAACGTCAGCTCTGAATTCCCACCACCCCAGTTTGTCTGTGCAGGGCTGCACCCCGGGAACTAGACCGCAAGCACAGATTAAAACAAACGTCCTAGACCTGGCAGCGTTGCTTTGCAAGAGAAACCCCACACCTCGCTTTCTGCAAGTAGAGCTGGCTTAAAAGCCAGCCCCAGGCGCCAGAGCTACAGGCACTTCCCAGAGCGGTGAGGCTCGGTGACCTTGGCAGCATCTCTCCACCCGTGCATGAAGGCAGCAGCAAGGAGAGGCCAGGGACCAAGCGCTCCACCGGGAGGACCCGCCGCCCGCATCAGGGGCCAGCCCTCGGTGCGGGCAGCTCTGCCTGGGTGCAGCCGGGCGCTGCGCCGGCTTGTCCGCTTACCGTCCGGATCGCCCTCTTTGTAGCACTGGTAGCTGTACTCGATGCCCAGGTTCTCCAGGTAGCCCTTCACCGCCTCCTCGTCCTCCAGGTTGACCAGCCCGGCCATCGCCCTTCCACGGGGGGAACCTGCCGCCGCGCGACAAGGTGACCCGACCACGAGCGCTGCGCCTGTCCCTCCTGCAGGGCCCACCCGCACCCGGAAGGGAATAGCTGCCGCTCACGGCCAGCGGGCGGAGCAGAGCGCCGAAGAATCGATGCGCGGCATCAGCCCATTTACAGAAGCGGAGCGGGCGGGCGGGAAACGTGGGAGCTGTGGTCAGAGCAGCTGCTCCTGGATAGTATCCCTTGCAGGCTACACCCCCTGGCCAGGGCAAGAGGGCAAGCTAGGGACACGGGGCTCTAGCAACGGGGCTTTCCAGGCCCTTCTCTTTCGCTCTCCTTTTGTCTGATCACTTTCACTCTTTCTCTAAACTTTTTTTTTTGTTCATTCACCCCCTTCTGAAACTAGCCTTGGATCATTTTATTGGCTCAATTGGTTATTATGCCTATCGGTGCTCTTTGCCCAAGAGCCATTTAATTGATCTTACTGAATTACACCTACGCATATACTTACAAGCACAATACTATTTTGCACCCAGACATACCCAAGCACTTTACAAATGTTAAATATGCCTCAAAAACTAGTTATATGAAAATGGGGAATCTTTCCATTGAAAAAGAACAGGGCTTATTCTACTTTCTATTCTCCTGCTTATTTCTCTTTCTACTTCTCCTCTTTCTTTGGGTAAAGTATGTTTTAGAGATGCTGTGCTTGCTCTGAGCTGCCTCAGTATGACAGTCTCAACAAAATAAGGGGCCAGCTGCCCAAGGAAAATGCCCCAAATATCTCATGTGTTGCTGGCAACCATTTTGAGCCATAGGTCACTTTCATGGTGCAGATGGGCTCTTCCTTTGTTGAGAATGAGCTCACTCTCCCTTCAACCAGCTTTGAAAACTAACTACTAGTAGCCGAAACAAACTGTTTACCTGACCTCAAGAAGAGGTCTGTGTAGCTTGAAAACTTGTCTCTTGTAACAACAGAGGTTGGTCCAATAAAAGATATTACCTCACCTACCTTGTCTCTCTAATATCCTGGGACCAACATGGCTTTACAACACTGTTACAAAACCATGAAAGATGCCTCTTGCACCATAGCTCCAGGTCACTTCCCATACTGATGTTGACAATGTTTTTGGCATTGCCAAACCCAAGTGTTCACTAGTGAGTCAGCCTGTCTCCCCTACCCCCACCCTAATAAAAAGAGGTTGGTTTACAAATTATGAGATTTTAAAAATAATAAATTTTGGGTGGGGGTTGCCTTGTGGGTTTTGAGCCTACAGTGATAATGTTTTCAAGTTGTTCTTTACAGCTATTAGGGCTAGAAACTTAGTTTTAAATAAATGAAAGCTGAGATTGTTGTGTAATTATGTGATTCCAGGAGCTGTGGCTTTAAGAAAAACATCAAATGTCATGGCTTGTGATTAAAATTGTGAGTTGGCAACACTTTTTTTTTGCCTAGCTGGACTAACAGCTACATAGTGTTCAACACCATTTTAAGGGGAGAAGGCAGTGTTGATAACTACTGTCAGCAACTGTTCATTTTCCAAGTATAGACAAATCTTTAATACCATATGATCCTGGGCAGGCCATACAACTTCTGTGCCTCAATGTCGTCCTTTAAAAAATGGGGTTAATACTTATTTACCTTCTTTACATCAGTGTTGTGATAACTAACAATTTAATGGTCCTTTTTTACAGCCTCTATATAAGCAAAACTTCTATTGGCTTCAGTTAGAATTTTGCCTGCATATGGATTGCATTGTGGAGGGTAATATTTGTAAATCCTCTAATGAAAGGAAGTATAAATTAATTTAGAAATTTGGGTCTTCTGATTTATTATTTGCTATTTTGCTGGTTTGGGAATAAGTATTGTTCATGTGGCTGTACCTGGAGTCGTCAAGAAGCTTAAATGCAAGCTCTTTATATTTTCATTTTAGCTGGTTATGGTGGTATTATTACACTTTACACTGTATCCTGAAACTGAAATAATTGAGACTGGTGCACTCTGTGCTGACAAGAAACTGTAGTGTATGTCCGTGGGAGAGAAGTGTTCACTACCACCTACATCTATTTACCAAATCTGCTCCCATTAAAGTCAATTGCAAAGCCCCCATTGACTTCAATGGAAGTAGGATGAGGCCTTTTACATTAGAGACTTGCAATTACTTTGTGCTGGAGCCTCTGCACAAATACCTGTTCCTGAACTTGATCAGTGACCAGCTCTACCATCAGCAATGCAGAACTGAGAATTTTGTATATCACTGAATGAGATAATAGATTATTTTAATTCTTGGTTTCTTTTTAATAAAACATGCTAACCCTGGTCCTTGTCGTCCCCATTCCATTTAGGTGTGTGGATGGGGGGGATTACCGTTTGAGTTACACCAGTGCACACTGTCACTTCATAGGCTAATACACCACTTAATACCACTAGGGATTCAATAGATGTTAATAAAATTAAATAAAAAAAATCAATAATCACACAAACTCCTCCCAAGGGGAAACAGGAAACAATTGTAAGCTGGACAGGGAAAGGAACGTACAATGGAATTGCTAACTCAGTACAATGCACAACCCACGATTTATTAAGATTTATTAAGCTTTGCTTGTCCAGCTTGACGAGATTTTGGTTTAACGGGGCTGATTTTCAGAAGAGCTCAGCTCCCAGCGGGCCCCCTGCGCGGCTGCGTCCCGACGGCTAACGCGGCTCCAGCAGCAGCAGCAGGAGCGCGGCCCCTTTAAGGGAGGCGGGAGGTGGGCCCGGCCGCCCCTAGCCGGCTGAGGCGGATTCACTTCCAGGTCGACGGGGCGGCCCTGTGCCCCGGCTCGCTGCTGGGTGACGGAGCCTGGGGACCCAGCGCAGAGATGGTGAGTCCTCCCCCCCCCCCGCGCCATGGGGTTTGCAGCGCGCCCCACGCGGGGTGGGGTCGGGGCTGCCCCCCCGAGCACAGCCCCTGGCGGGCTCGGCTGAGGTAAATTCCCCTCCGGCTGCCTCGGGGGCTGTTAGAGGCGGGCGCGGAGGCCCTCGCGGGGGCGGCCTGGCGGGCGAGGGCAGCGCGGCGCTCGCACGGCGCGGCACTGACAGCGGATCGCCGCGGCTCCCCGGCGCGGGGGGAGCAGGACCGTTCGCGTTTCCCGCGGCCCGGCTCGCCTTGGGAAGTTAAAAACCAGCCCACCTCGGGTCAGGCACCTTTCTTCTACCACCCCAGCTGTGTCTGCCGTAAGGGTTGTACTGATCTTTAACTCGTTTGGTTTCAATCAAACAAGACCCCTGCTCTTAACTGGAATAGTGAAATGGGCACAACACCTGTGTGTGGATCAGGCCTGTCCAATTAAGGAGCACAGGTTCCCTCAAAAAATCAGGGGGACTTGTATGTCTGAGTCACTCATGTCTACACTGCAAAAAAGACTCACCAGGTCCCGGAGCCCAGGCTCCAGCCTGAGCTCGAACATCTACACTGTATTTTTTATATAGCCCCACAGCTCTAGCCCAGTTAGGGTGACCAGACAGCAAAAGTGAAAAATTGGGACAGGGGGTGGGACGGTAATAGGAGCCTATATAAGAAAAAGACCCAAAAATCGGGACTGTCCCTATAAAATCGGGACATCTGGTCACCTTAAGCCCAGTGAGCCCAAGTCAGCTGACATGGGCCAGCCATTGATGTTTGATTGTAGGGTAGATGTGTAACGTCCTCGAGGGGCAGGATCGAACCGGGGACATCTGGAGCTTAGGGCATGAGCCTCTACAACAGCATGAGCTAAAAGCCAACTGGGCCTGGCTCTTAGCTAAGGCTGTAGAGCAGATTCATTTTATCTTTCTCTTTAAGTGGTCTCGGTGCCACTAGATGGGATAGAACAGTGGTTCTTAAACTTTTGTACTGGTGACCCCTTTCACATAGCAAGCCTCTAAGTGCAACCCCCCCCTTATGAATTAAAAACACTTTTTTATATATTTAACACCATTATAAATGCTGGAAGCAAAGTGGGGTTTGGGGTGGAGGCTGACAGCTCACGACCCCCCTTGTAATAACCTCATGACCCCATTAGGGGTCCCGACCCCCAGTTTGAGAACCCCTGGGATAGAGCAACACACCCAGAAGGTGTGTGGGTTACAGATACACCCTCAGGGCTTCAGTCTACACTGACTTTGGCTCACTCTGCGATGCTAGCTTGGGTTGGAGCTTAGGCTGGAGCTCGTGCTCTGAGGGTGTGTTGACACTGGAATAAAATTCCTGCGATTGGCCTGGATCATCTGACTCATGCTTGTGGTGCTTGGGCTGGAGCCTGGGCTTTGGGACCCTTCTCCCCTTGCGGGGTCCCAGAGCTTGGGCTCCAGCTGAGCCTAAACATCTACAACCCCTCATCTTGAATCCCACGAGCCCGGGCCACCTGTGGGTGTTTAATTGTTGTGTAGATGTTCCCTGATACCCACACACCTCGCTGGGATTAATAGTCCAAGTACCAGCTCAAGTGGGAATGTCTAAACTGCTATTTTTAGGCTCATAGCTTGAGCCAAAGTCTGTGGACCTAGGCTCTGAGACACACTGCTGTGTTGTTGTTTTTTTTGTTTGTTTTTTCAGTGTAGACATACTGGTGGTTTTGAAAATGCAACTCTCAGTGGATAAGAAACTGATTTTTGTCATCTGAAAAGAGTGAACAAGTGCAAATTGCAGGGATTTGACTAGAGGCTGTTTTTTTTTCTGGTGGGGTATTAGATTAGTCCTGTTGGGATCCAGGAAGTGGGCAGGAGAAGCAGTAGAAGGGGTGGGGGAGGAGCTGTATTACCTCAGACTTTCCTGACTGCAAAAAGATTGTAGATAAACTGAGTGTTTTGTTTCCATAACTACTTTAAAGGCCACCTGGCTCCCAGGTGACTCTTAAGCCCAGCAGCTCACTTTTACAGGGTTGCAGGCTTATGCAGCATCTCAACATTCTATGCTTCACTTCTTTCCCCTTGTGGCATTTAGTTCTGACCCCATTGAGCCACACCCCCCCTCACAGCTGCAACATGTAGTGTTCAGCTGAGGGTGGAGCAAAGGAAGGACTAAAACAGAAAGCAAAAGCACTACACCCAACATTAAAA